TCTCTCTCTCTCTATCTCTCTCTCTATCTCTCTCTCTATCTCTCTTTCTTCTTCCTTGGGTTTTCTTTCTTTCTTTTATTTTATATGTTCAATCGGTATGTAAAGTAATATATTTATAAGGCAAAGAGAGTTTACATAGAATACAATTGAAAATAAAATTCATGCGTGTTTAATGTAACGTTTTATCGAGATCAAATATGACGAAGGGGAAACCCAAGTAAAAACGGTCATTTAAAACATAAAATTCATACATCTATATACGTATATATAGGTGTGTGCGTGTTTGCGTGTGTGTGTGTGTGTGTGTGTGTGTGTGTGTGCGTGCGTGCGTGTGCGTGCATGTGTGTGTATTAGCATATTTTCTTTATGAATTTTTTCATTTCATTATGATGTTTTTTCATTGTGTTCTATTGCAATTAAGTTACTTTTAATCCTTAATTTTTTACTTATTTCACACATTCGGTAATACAGATGCTTTTACCATTGTATAGAAATTCATTTTACATGCAACTATGTCAGATGTAATTCACTTATAAAATTATAGTAGCTATTAATTGTAATGCCAATAATTTATTATAAAGAAAATTGGCCTTTGCTTCACAATATATATTATTAAATTTTCAATACATTTGATGTTTCCTCTTATTCGGCAAAAAAAAAAAAAAAAAAAAAAAAAAAGAAGAAAAAAATTTACCTTAAAAAATGAATATTCCATTCTTAAAAGCACCATAAAAGTATCTATTATTAATTCTAAAATTTTCCTCATTTTTGCATTACCGAATTATTGAGAATTAGCAAACCTTCAATTTACAATTCATCATAAAAATTAGACATCATGAGAATTCAAACAATAAAATATTTATAATCGACTTATATTTTAAAGGTACATTGGTTACGATTTTAGATTAACCAAGAAGAAGTGGCTCATCATGTACATAATAACATTTGTTGTTCTTCTTCTGTTTACCACGATTACAATAATTGTGGGTAACGATACGTACTTCGACACCAGTGGAAGAAATTTGGTATTTGCTTAATTTGATGTATTTTAAATATCTGATCTTAATTCGATGTCATAATGACTTTAGATGATATAATGTTTAGTTAAATATATGCAGGAGTCTTTCATAAAACGAGAATAAAGAATTGATTAAAGTCGATAGCCATTGGAAGAAAATCATTATATATATATATGTATATATATTTTTTTTTCTTCTTTTTTTTTTTTTTACGAATGTGCACTAATTTTGTATAATGGCTCAGCATTAGTTTAATTATTACGAATATATTTCAAAATGGCATTTCTCTTTAAAATGTACTGCAATGTATTAGATTTGAAAGGAATAGAGTGACCTAGATTTTGGGTATTTTAAAAAATTAACGTTTTTCTCAGATTTATTATAGTTAATACTACTTCAAACGAATATCACGGCAATTTTCATGAAATATGTCAAAAAGTTTCATATTTATTCGCTTTATACATTTATTGCTTGTTAAAGTTATATTTGTTAATGGAATATAATTATTTTATTATTAATATCTGAGCCATAAATAACAACGAATTCCTTCGTGAAGAAACGAACTTATAAACGAATTCGATTTTAAATAAATTAGAATGACCTCGTCGAGTTCATTCGTAAATGCCCATGGCGATTGTATTAAAAACTATATTTTAATGGATTTCTACCATTTTTTTTATTGTTATCTTGATTGTTAATTTAACTGTACTTGACATTTACATTTTTATTTTATTTTTTTTTTAATTACACACGATGACTGCTTGAAAATTTTACTTGTAGGCTGATATAATATTTAGAGTCTTATTCGATAAAAGCTTTTTTTTTCAACTAATACGTGATAAGTTTCTGATTATGTCTGGAAATTTTCATACAATAACTAAAGTTATTTTTTACAGATACGCCAATTTATTTTATAATTTTGAAATTACATTAATTATTCGATTTTATATATTAATAAAGGATTATCAAAATGTATTTTCGCCTGTTAATGTTATAGTGTGTTTATTTTAATATTTAGTTTTAGGAAAGACTACTAATGTAAATGTAATTGACTATTTAGATTTTATATACTCATTTTAACATGAGTCATAAATGTATGAGCAATAATTTGTTATTACAATGACGTAATTTGTGGATCATGATGAATACATTTATTGATACTAGACTGTATGATAATAATTCAGCCAATGAAAAATGCGTTCATTCTATGAATGTATTTTAAATTTACTTACTTTTATAATTTTACCAATAAATCAATGTAATTAGTATCATAAAAGACATTTAATTCATTGATAAAAAGAATTACTTATTAATGTCATCAATTAACAGAATATGCTGCTTACTAATTTATCAATTTTTACTTTAAGATAGGAGTAGGTAATACATTTTTACATTGAAATCATTGTAAGACAATTTAAATACAATTGTTCATCTGAATTCTTGTTTTTTCTTTATCTTTTTACTTATTATTATTTTATAGTATCAAAATGGAATTTTTTAACAAGCATACTATTTTAAGTATTTGGCAAATTTAGAAATTTTTTTGAAAATTTAATAAAAAACTTCTGGTTGTTATACTTAAGTATATTTTAATTTAATTCAGCAACGCTTAAGTGATGCGTTTAATATATTTTAATGCCATCAATGTGGAAGAATTTAAATATTGAATTTTTAATGTAATATGTAATTTGGAACGCGTGATCTGGAAATTCGTTAGTTTTATAATTGTCCGTTTTGTTCCTAATTATATTTGTAATTTCAACATTATTTTCATATATATATATAGATTATTGATTTTGATATGTATATCTTATTCAAATTTTATATAAATCAAATAACGTCTTTATGTCATTTATTTATCATTATATAACAGAAATGCAGAATAATATTATGCAGTTCAGTGTTGACGTCAATAGTACTACTGATGGATCATACTTTCCGAGTATTTTCTAATTAATTATAAAATAATATATTTACATATTACCTAGTGCAAGTAGTCTTGTCTTTTTAATTTCATTATTAATGTAATAATTCAAACATATAAAATGAGAAAAGATCGACATATTTTACTTTGTTTTTTTTTTTTTACATTTTTTTATATATATTTTTATATTTTTTTTTTTTTTTTTTTTTTTTTTTAATAAACAATTGTTCCCTCACGCAATAAATAATATTTCTGATTTCATGATGAAGTGGATAAATTTTACACATAGTTTTATTTCATATTTCATAATCTTTAAATCTGCTGATAATTAATAAGAATCGAAAATTTCGTGAATATGTATTAAACGCCATCTCGTTCTATGGAATTTAAGAGTTGTTTGATGTAAAATCAAGCGCCTTGCCTTGTTTCTATAAAATATAATTTATTTTATATCTCTTGCATATGTTATATGCATTTTATGTATAAATTGCAATTAAGATCGATCCATATTAATTGCTACATATAAAGTGAATTCATTCAAATAAATACTTGGTAATACGCAAAAACAAAGATTTTACTTTTATGCTTAATCAAAAAAGTATTCAAAACCTAAGAAAATCTTTGCTTCACTAATTATATATCAATTTTATTTATCATACGTAAATAATGACAATAAAATTAAAATAAAAAAGTATTAAATAACTTTGGATCGATTGTTTATATTCGGTTATATTATGAATTTCATTATCAACCCGACATTGATGTACAGTGCACTATAAATAAATATAACTCAACGGATAATCATAATAACATATTTTCTATTTTATTATCAAAAAGTGAATATATTATTTTGTTCATTTAGTATCAGCTGAATATACTTTCGGAATACGAACTTGAACGTTATGCATTTCCGCCCGTTTTGCCAACGTCTGAGTCTGAGATTCAAGAACAAGTCGATTTAAAGAATGAAACTATATTATATAGAATTTCGTCGGGACCAAAATCACCGAAGAAGATAGGAAAACAACCGGTGTTCATAGAAAATGGAATTCTCTGTGATAAGGATCCCTGTGAAGTTAATAAACCCAAAATTGCAGTTGGTAAATAAAATAATAATTTAATTCTCATTATCGAATGGGGTATAATTGACATTATGCCGATAAATTTGTTTTATAAAATGATACGATTAATTATTAAATAAATGTAAAATATCAGATAACAATTTCATTGTTATTTGATAGAAAAGTATATTCACATAAAATGTACTAACTTTTACTATAATTTTTAACTTGATTTAAATATAATTTTTTCAATGTTACTTAAGTATGATCTCAGCTCATTATTGCATTATAAATGATATGTGGTTCTCGTTATGTTAATAATTTCCGCGACTCTTTCTTAAAGTGTCAATTCCTATCGGAAAATAGACTTTATAGATTCGTTACACGTATCCATTTATTCTTATGTAATCCATGAAATTTCTATTTACCAGCTTACATACTTGTTGATCGGGGCTATGACGTCTGGTTAGGCATTGGTAACACTAGCATTGCCGAGAGTACGCTGTCGTAAGTTAACGTAATCATTTGTTCGAACAAGTTGAAATATGTACTGCTTATGTCATTATTTCAATATCTTTCTCTATATCTCGCGCACTTGCTTACTTACTTAGTCTCTCTCTCTCTCTCTCTCTTTCTCTCTCTCTCTCTCCTCTCTCTCTGCATGCTACAAAAATATAGTGTGAGTTCTTGATGTATTGCGCGTGTCGTGTAGTATAATATTTTTAGGAACGAAGAAAATGAAAGGAAGCGATTGGAACGCGTGGCTCAATATATATTGGCGTCCACTCAAGCGAATGAATTAACGGTAATGGGTCACTTTCACGGTTCTGTGCAATTTTTTGGCATGACTGCACCTCGTATTATCAATGATGAACCACAGGTGTGTTTTACCGCAGATCCGGCCATTACCCTGTATATGCAAATTAATAACAATTACATTTGTTTGTTAATTTCAATCGAGGCGATGTGAAAGTAAAAATATTTTTAATGCGTGTACTTTTAATAAGTAAGGTTAATTTATCAAATCCCGATTTGTTTTGTGAATTTGAAAGGACATTTTCGCCAAACGATCGCGTAAATTTAGATTTCAAAAAATTTTGAAAACAACACTTGTCAGAAATAAATGTAATCCATGTCATTTTTATATTGCCTCAAGGTATGCATAAATAGATGAAGATTACAAATTTCTATGCAAATAAAGATTTTTCATGTATTTCAGAAAATGTTCTTACGCCCGATACTTTATGAAATGAAAAATGATCAAATAATACTTTATTAATCGATTAAAATTACGAAAAATTTTATTAATATCTTGCAATACGTGTACACGGCTGGCTTATATTGTAATTCAGTACATTTTTTGCTTTATACAAAAAATTTGCCAATTTAACATATTATTAATATAAAATATTTTTATTATTAATTCGCGCTTGAAAATTTATATAGGGATTTAAAAATCATAGATAATATTAGTTGAATTTTTATATTGCAGTCAAAAATTTCAAGATGGTTGGATTATATTCCCGGTGTCAAAACTATCAAGTCGTTGTACAAAAAAGGAACAGGTTTTCTAACAAGTACATTATTAATATTTGCATGAATATTATTTTATTTGCATCTATGAACTTGAGCCAAAATCAAATAATTAAATTTGATAAAATTAATGTACCTTTAAAACTTTGGATTATTTATAAAATATACGTGTAAACATATTTGTCGAATATTGTAAATAATATTTTTAACAGACAATTACTTTCTCACCAAGTATTATGTTTTTACGACTTTAACATTAAGTAGCTTAATCATGCAAAGGTCCGAACAATTAGAACCAAAGTAAAATTTTCTTATTCATTTTTTTTTAATATTTTTGCAGGAGGTTATAATAATGTGGTTGACAGAATTGGACGTAAAATCAATTATATTACCGATGACTCGAACATACGCGATTTAAAGGTGAGAACACTTCACGATATTTATATTATTACGTACAACCGAAAATGTAAAAACAAATACACAATTCTAATATTGTCATTTGACGATTATCCGAGCAAATTAATGCATAGGCATGAATTATCAGTTGCTTAATTGAAGGAACAGCTATTAAATAAAAAATTTAAAAAAAAAATAAAAGTATATATTAGAAATACAATCGATTATCAATTTCCTAATTAAATTTCCTAAAAAATAACTAACATTTTTTCATTATTTGTTTAATGAAATATTTCTCAACATATCTAGACGGTAAAAACAGAACTTTGAGATCTATAAACATTGAAAATGATATAAATAGCAAATCACTATTGTTATTATGTATATTATTCAAAATAACAATACGTTTTATTTATTTTTATAAAACTTTATCTCAGTGTAGAATGATAAAATTAACTGTAAGAACACTGTCACTTCGTTTATTCCTACAGTTTTACAAAATCTTTGACCATTCATTCGTTAAAAATTTTATTAAAAAGAAGAAAAAAAAACAACTTGAAATTATATATTGATAATTTCAAAGATAATTAATAAGAGTTATTTATTATTATGTAACATTATGACATTTACTTCTTACACTTATCTATTCTTTGACAATTTCTTATAAATACAGATTCAATGTATTGTATTATCCTTTTAAGTAGTTTATTTTCAGAGATTTTTATATTCTATTAAAAATGGATAATTAATGTTAATTTTTCCAACGGAGAAAGAAATATAATATCTCATTTGGATTGTTATGTATAAAATTAATATTCTATTTAAGCAAACAAAAATTTAGTAGAAATTTTTGGGAATCACTACCTACAGAGTGACGGTAAACTGAAATTTTTTGTAAAATTTTTTAAAAAAATCCGTATAATGTATATTTGAATTTTTATCGACGAGTCAATTACACTTCTCATATTTATTTAATTTAACGAAGAAAAAAAAAGTCATGTAATTATCGAGGCTTTAATTTATTCATGGCACATTCCACTATTGAAGAAGAAATCTTATTCTTCGTCAATTTTATCTCACACTCTTGCTTACATTGTAATTGAGTTATTTATATATATATATATATATATATATATATATATATATATATATATATATATATATATATATATACATATACATGTGTGCGCGCGCGCGCGCGCGTGCGTGTGTGTGTGCATGTAAGCAAAATTAAGATAGCGCTTCGATGTTGCAAGTTATGACTTTTTTCATTCTTGCTTAAGCAAGGAAAATTCACTTCACGCATCATGAACAACGTCCTTGACTTGCTTTGCTCGTCTAGGCACAACGTTACTACACTACTACAAACTCATTTGCGGAATGTGACCAGTTCATATAGAAATATCTAATTAAACATAAGTTAGACAAGACTGGAAGAAAATTGAATCACGAAAAATTAGAAAATAACTCGTAGATCCTAGAATATAAGGGGGTCAAATATATGTTGTAATTTTTATTTTAAGCTTTTAATCATGAAATATACTTTTATGAAAGTACTTGTCGAGTGTAGTTCTTAATGATTTCTATTAGAGCTTAATATTAATTAAGTCAATAACAAAATTCAATTTGTATATTAAAATCAATAGGTGATTGTGAATTGTATTGGGAAGGAAAATATGATATTTCATAATCCAAGATAATTCTTCTTTTTTTCAATTCAAAATGTATTTGCAAATTAGTAAAATTTGATATTCGATAAATTAATTTTTATTTTTACTTTATTAATGTGAAATGATATAAAATTTGGAAATCATTTTGCATAAAATAAATAATATTAGTTTGAGCTTATTGTTTATAACATTGTGTAATAAATAATCTTACTAATATTAATGAATAATTTTAAAAAAAATTCTGTGAAATATTACATTGAACAAATTAAAATGTACTAATTATTATCTGTAATGAGACAATTTACAATTAATATCTTAACTGACAATATATATATATTTCTTCGATTATTAATAAATTTTTCTATAATTAGACTATTCTTTTTCACATTACACAATAATTTTATATTACGTATATTATATAATAAATAATCCAATCGGTAAGTAATCATTAATTTAATAATAGCCCTTTTTGTATAGAAAATTTAAACATTTGTTTCTTTTCTAGTATGCTTTCAGTAAATTTAACGAAAATAATAAGGATTGAATAAATCAATATAAAGTTAATACGATCATTAATAATGTAATGGACATAATAACTAAATAGCAAAGGAACATTATTTTTCTTATGCTGTTTTTAAAAAAACACACAAGTGTTTTTCACTTAAACAATGTATTATACGAATAATCAATATAGCATGCCGATAATAATATTATAACATCACAGATGATAAATCAAGTATTCAATAAGAATAGAAGGATCGTGCATTAAAATATTTAATTTCAGAATACCGTAATGAATGCCTGGGGCTTCATGATGACTATGGTCCTGCCCACCTTTACAATTAAAAATTTTTCGGATATGATGGACCATCCGGATGTATTTTTAGACACAGTGAGCAAAATTTCATACATTTTCTTTTTCTTTTTTTTTTTTTTATCATTGAAAAGAAAAAGAAAGATAATAATAATTAAGCAAATATTCGATGAAAATAAGGAATATCTTCATTACTTTGTAATCGGTATCGATCGGCCCCAATAGCCTCTAACGTTCCCTCGAATAAATAAAGCATTTTACCAATCCCTCCTTGATAATGCAAATAAATTATAACTGAAAAGACATTAAATCTCCTAGGCTCAGCTGATACGAAAATACGGTTACCAAGCCGAATCGCACCAAACGGAGACGACCGACGGTTATCTGCTGACGATACACCGAATACCCGGAAACGAGTCGATGTCCGCACCGAAGGGGGGCAAACCCGTGGTCCTCCTCCAGCACGGGATTTTGGGTAGCTCCGCGGATTGGGTGATGCTCGGCCCGAGTCAATCTTTAGGTATTGCGTATTTGGTTTTGGTAACACTTAGTTTGGCGTTGAGATTGTGCAATTCTTCAGCGTTCACTGCTTGCGGCTAATGATAAGTTCGGATTTTTCTTTTAGATTTTGTGTGTGTGTGTGTGTGTGTTTTTTTTTTTTTTTTTTTTTTTTTTTTTTTTTTTTACCGTGTACGAGGGGCAAAAATTGAAAAATTTCAGGCAAGAGGAGATTAATTATCAGATAGAAAATAGAAGACGTAATTATTATCCAATGATTTGCGGGCAAGGGACTGACTGATAATCCAGTGTATTTAGCAGAGTAATGAGTAATGGATGGAAAGCTTTTTTTAGAGCATCGCAATGTCTGTCGACTACTGGAATTGACATCATTAATACTTATTTGCGTAAATATGTATAATATGGTGTTAAAGCTATTGGATACGTTTTAGATGATACTTGCGGTATTTTTGTAAGAGCATCCTTATAAAGGACACGGCTTTGAAGTATAATAATAATAAAAGAAAAAGGTTGCGTTAATCGACGAGTATATTTCTCTTTCTTTGCGAACGTTTTCAGCGAACATGGCAATAAATTCTTGAGATTTTACAACCGCTGAGATTTATATATATATATATATATATATATATTCCACAATAAACATGTATATTAATTAAAATCATAACGCTGAAGAAAAGATCGTCGCAATACTCGTATATTAATAAGCATTGCAAAAGTATGTATTAGCAATTGTACGCGTTAAAAGTACAAATCCATTAACTTACGCAATCGATGCCCAGAGAGATTTTTTTTATTATAAATTGTAATGTAATCCTATTCGCTCGAATTCCTCATAGAATATTACCCATAGAAAGATACCTATTAGGCGGCAATAAAGATATTCCAAGAGAATCAAAGAACCATACGGGCATTGCACGCGTAGCCTCGACAATTATTTCCCCAAAAATAATGTACATTTTCAATCGTAAGCTTACATGCTGTCGGATGCCGGTTACGACGTGTGGATGGGCAATTCACGTGGCAACACCTATTCCAAGGCTCACGTAAACTTCTCGGCCTCTAGCTCCAAGTTTTGGGAATTCTCGTGGCACGAAATGGGAATACACGATCTGCCAGCGACAATAAACTATATTCTCAATGCCACCGGTCAGAAGCAAATACATTACGTTGGGCATTCGCAGGGCTGTAGCATTTTATTCGTTATGCTTTCGGAGAAACCCGAATACAACGAGATGATTGGAAAAGCCGCTCTGTTTGCCCCGGTGGCTAACACTACCAATGCCAGGAGTCCGATTATTGGCGTTTTCTCAAAGATATCAATGCCACTTTACGTGAGATTTTTCATTTTCATAGCGCCAACTTTAAGCTCTCTCTCTCTCTCTCTCTCTCTCTCTCTCTCTCCATGTCCCAACAAGCGATATTCGAACGTAATGCAAACTTCATCGATCCCATTATATCAAATAATATTAATTTGTCGGAAGCCATGTGTTTTATTGAAAAATTAAATTAAAAAATAATCATCTATTTTACATACTAGTTTCCCTACTAATAATTAACTTTCGCAATTGCATATTATCAATTATAATATATTGGAGATTAGTTATAATTATTAACAGCTAATTCCCTATATGCAGCAAATAGCTAAACTTCCGACGCGATTAATACAAATTCTCATATAAATCCCATGCATTTCTATTTTCATCGTTCCATTCGATCGCGGCTAACGAACGTCAGTCTCTCGCGTACACATTGCCAAATCAATAACATTTAAAAATAATTGTTATCAAAACATTCATAATTAATGCATAATAAATCTCTTCTCGTGTATTTGTCTATTGAACAGTATCTAATAAGAGTTTTTGGCGTGAATGACTTTTTGCCGACCAATGCTTTGCTCACGAAAATTGGCAGAGAAGTATGCGAAGCACGTTCGCCTTATCAAGTTGTTTGTAGCAATGTACTGTTTATGATAACTGGCTACGATGCTTCGTTATTAAATAAGGTGAGTATTTGCATAACTGCATCACTACTAGTTAATAACGATTTTTTTAAAGATAATAAGTTAAAGACAAACATTAAAAAGACAGAAGGAGAAACAAAAAAAAAAAAGACAAAAAAACAAAAACGACAAAAGAAAAAATAATAACATTGAAAATGTACGTGTGAAAAGCGAAGAATAAACGTGACGACCAATTGACTTTGTAATTAATAAACTAATATTGAATGTACATTATTTGTCAACTTGAATATTTCTAATAATTATTATTGTAACGTCATAAAAATAACGATAATAATAATATTGTCATATAATAAATATATCGTGTAGATATGCGAGTAAGGGAGCCGCACTATTCGGAGATTATTTTAAATATAAATCAATTGTAATTGTATTGGTAAATATAATTAGCGAGGATATCTTTCTTTTTTGGCAAAGGAAGCTAATGATATTCCTTATTTATTATCGCTCATAAAAATTTCTTCAACATTTTGATAATTGCATCTTATTGTAGGAACAAAATAAAAAGTGCTTCCCAGTTAATATTACTTTATTTTAATAGAATTTTTAATTTGCATTTTTCAGACGACTATACCAATTATTCTCGGTCATGTACCCGCGGGTAGTTCGATAAAGCAATTCTTTCATTACGCCCAGGGACGTAATTCAAGTAACCAGATTTCTTATAATATTAATTATAAATTGTCAATCACCAATGCGTATTTTATTTTATTAATAATAACAATTGTGATTTTCTATATGTACAGAGAAATTTCGACAGTTTGATTACGGCAATTCCAAAATAAACAATATAGTTTACAATCAAACCGAGCCTCCAGAATACCTAATTGAAAATGTCAAAATTCCTGTTCAAATTTATTACGCTCAAAATGATTTAATTACTGACTTTAGAGTAAGATGCCTATTAATATTTTATAATTTTACTATTTTAATAGTCGAAATTATCGGTAAGCCTCTTTTACATTTTATAGGACATTGAAATGCTGGCAAATCAGCTGCCCAATCTTCGAGAATTATATAAAGTACCAAATGAGAATTTTAATCACATTGGCTTCACTTATGCGACCGAAGCTCCTAAATTAATTTACGAACCACTCATAAAGTACCTTAAGAATGCCACTCTACCGTAAAGGAATGAAAGAAAATAGTTTTTCCTCCTATATCTCGCTAATATTACGATGCCTAGTAATTTATTTCTTAATACATAATCGAACTTTACAAATTTACAGCTATATTTATATAAATTAGATCTTGAAATCGTACAAGGAAATATTTTACAAAAAACATAAATATTCATTTGCTCGTGTCATATTTCAATGAGATAATACAAACGTTTAATGGCCAACATAAGGAAATGTAGCGGAAAACAACATGGAAAATTCGGCCCCAATCGTATATTTATATTTACGTGTATAAGACACACAATCGCTTCATATTCTGCCCAATTCGTTGTATATTATTATAATTATTATTATTATCATTATTATTATTATTATTATTATTCTTATTAATATTATTGTTATTATTGTTGTAAATTTTATTTTTATACGTTATTTAACAATTTTGTATTTTATTCGTGAATTTTAATTACTATTTCATTGTTATCAAATATTCTAATAATTCTAATAATATTCTAATAAATAAGGAATTTTGATAAAATAGATAGTAAATAATGAGAAAGGAGCATTATTATTGATAATTGATGTAAAATATTTGTAATAAAATTGTAATATAATAAAACAATGAATCGATTATAAAAATACTTTCAATTTTCATTAATTTTTTTAAACACAATAGGGGCTATTCATTGGAACAGCGTAGGGTAACTTTTCATGCGCATGCGTATGTTTCATGGAAATACCGAGGGATGCGGTATACATACAGCCCTTGTCTTACTATCATTTTACTTTGAGTCGACTCAGTCGATGCCAAAAGGTCGCGCCGGGCACGTCGCTTTCTCACCCTTTCCTTTTCCACAACTCACCCCCGTTTGCTTATCGCTCATTCTCTCGCTCTCTCTCTCTCTCTCTCTCTCTCTCTGTCTCTGTCTCTCTATCACTCGCTCTCACTCTGATTATTATTCTCTCTTACTCTATATTTTGCTCATTATATATCTTTCTCTAACTTTCTCTCTCTCTCTCTCTCTCTCTCTCTCTCTCTCTCGCTCTCTGGCTCTCTTCATGTTTGTTACGCTAGCAACTATTTCTCTCAGTTATATCTAACAAGAAGGAGAATCAGTAATAACGGAAATTATCTCCCGTGTCTCTTCAATGAAATTTGAGCATAAAGAAAAATAAAGCAAGACATTTAAATTTTGTTGCTATGTCGACTCGACATTATCAAAGAATACACGAATTGTAATATACAATTTGGGTATTTTGCAACTCATAATAATAACGACATACAAGGATTTATAATTAGAGATTGATCGAGCTAAAAATATTGAAACAAGAAATATAAAAAAAATTATACAAGGAAAAAATAAATCGGAGGGTAAGATTGTAAAGAAGAGTTATAACATTGAAAGATAATTAAATAGTACAAACAAATATAAAGGAAAAAGTGAATACAGTGTTATTGGTAGTCATATTGTAGTGCAGTTACATAAAGTAGAAGAAGAAAAAAATGAGACAAAGATCACAAAGAAAGAGGACAAAAATGCAGATTAACCACCACGTTGCAGGTTGTGCATGACATCTTTATCGACGACATAAACAATCTTTACTCGAACTTTCTTAACTCTTTTCTCTTTTATTTTCTTGTTGTTTTTCTTTTCTTTTGTTTTGCTTTTTTATTTAACTGGTATATAGTTATGGTAATCGTCAGAAGTGATAGAAATAAAGGCAGGAAAATGAGGTCGAGCAATGCTGAAACTCCTGCTCTTCTGCGCAATGTCGCATTAGCCTGCGTCATTTTAATCCTGCTGACCGGTAATTGTAGCCTCTTTTGTGTACATAAGTTTTAATGTTAACGAATTTGATCGACCCGATAGGTAAAATTTAATGTCTGGTGTGTTGTGAATAAATTTTTTTAACCTTATCCTTATCAACTAAGGCGTTACATGCACATCTATTAAAAAGGAAGAAAAAAACAACAACAACAACAACAACAACAACAATAATAATAAAAACAAACAAATTATTTTATAACAGCATGATAAAGTATTATATAAACGAAATTTGATAATCCATCTTACGTATAAAAAAGGTGTGAAAATTCTTTTGATAATTACTTGGCATTCATAAATATTTTCTTAAATAAATAATTTCACGTTTTACGTATAAGGAGTAAGCCGATTAATATAATTCAATTAATATGCTTGCGTAGTGTAATGCTTATCGAGAGGACATTTACATTGCAGCAAACTATTTTCTTCTCATTATTTCAACGAATTTACAATTATAACACGCATACATAACCTTAAAGCATAATATATTATTATATATTAAAGATTATATTAATAATCTTTAATCCAATTGTTTCTTAGGTATACCAATCGAATATAATTATTAGAAAGCCAATTAGTTCTATAATATTTTTATACTCTTGGAGCTAGTTAAGTTTATTTATTGATTGGATTTACTCGATGAACTATACGACTATACAAAAAATATTCGTCTCCGGCGTTCATTATAAATCTTAAGGTCGATGAAATCCTATGAAATCTTATTCAAACAAAATATATGTATATCTATTGCCCTTTGAATCACTACTGTTTTCAATGCTAATTAATGCGAAGTTTACTCTCCCTAATTTACGAACAAATCAATGCCAATTAAATAATTGCCATACCATTAGTAATGAATTAATAATTAAAATTAAACGACGAACTATCCTATGTTCCCATAATTAATACACACATTTGCTAATATTATAATTACGTCGATATTGTTCATAAGATTATATGTCGATTCACGAATTCGATGGCTTTTAACATTCATTACTTTTTACAATATCTCGATCAATCTACTTCAATTTCATTCTTAAAATGCCTTACGTTATTTAATAAAACAAGTATATTTACTTTTACTAAAAAGCAATGATCTAATTTTTTGGCTGAAAAAAAAAAGAATAATTATTAATTTTTAATAGTCGATTACTCGTGAGAAAATAATTCATTGCTATAATGTTATAATTATGAAAAATTAATATTCTTATATTAAAAAATTCATTTTATTAAATTTAATGTTGTAAGTATTTTTAGACTTTTTAATTTAAAAAAAAAAAAAGAAAAAAAAACATTTCTCATAGTATTATGAATCTTTCGATGATTTTTCGATAAACGTAAAATGAAAAATGATTAAAAATATATAATAAATCTCACTTTTCGACTTTAACATTAATAAATTTCAAATAAATTTGAAATTGTTAATATTTTATCATGTATGAATAAAATCTTATTTTTTCTATAAAGGGCTTGATAAACAATTAATATATAGAATTTGTAAAAATATCCAATTAAAAATAAATTTGCATATACGTGAATTGAACATTTCATAAAAAAAATAACGCAAATTTAAAGTTATGAAAACAATTACTTTCTTTCATAAGATTAATAAATGCAATATGATTAGAAATAAATAATAAATTACCATAATAGTTGATTATTTATTGAAAAATATATATTAGCATCGATAATAAAAATATTTAATTAAAAAATTAAAATATTAAATTAGGGTACTGTATATTTGTTAGAAAATATAACAATTATACAGATATCAATTTTTAACTTATCGATGTTGTCATTATTATTATTATTATTATTATTATTTTACTTTGACTTTAGTATTGAAACTACTCATATATATATAATAAAAATAATAATGTTAATTGAAATTATTGAGAATCTCTAATTCTATATATTGTGTAATTATGCATTCTCTATAAAATAATTATTATTTAACTTTAGAATGCACGTATATCAATAATATAATAATAATTAATAATAATTTCAATATTTTTATTGTACGTTAATGGAAGCATTTGTGGCATTTCATTAAAAATAATAGATGATAGTCTTTCCAACATTTTTTGTTTTTTCTATTATTTTTAATATTTACTCATGACACTTATATATGGCCATAATTATCGTCACAAACGCAATTGAAATCATTTCTTTTCATACTACATTAATAATATCTCTTTTATGTTATTATATTAGACTTAATAACGATACAACTGCGAAGTACCTTACCATATTCTCAATTAGAGTACATTGTTCGGTTTGAATAAATTCGAATAAATTCATAATAATTAAGAATAAAGCTCATTTGATATTTAAATTCGCATGGAAAAATTACAAGCTCGTAAATTTATTTATTAAACTATCCTTAATAAAAATGACTAACTAATGAAATGAGAACTATAGGTGAAATTCATTCATCTTTTTCATTCTGAGGATCCATGATCAAAGAAGATGTGCGTTGTGTATATCGATTGTGCGAGAGGCGCACGCGTAGGATAGCGAATGAATGTTCTATATATCCCGACGTTATTTTCTTCCCTCCTTCTCTTTCGTTCTCCCTTAACAATGGATGGTAGACACCTTTTAATCTTATCACTCTCACAGTATATCGGAAAATATCTCACGATATAAGGAACAAGGAACTAATTGTCTCGGCTCTTCTCTAATCACACTCCCTTTCAATGCTAAACTGTAGATACCTGCACTCGTCTTAAAATATCCTTTTCAATGTTTTTTCCTTTTACTTACGCTTCTAATCATTTTCGTTTATTCATATGTGTGTTTGCTCTAACGGTCCTTCACATTTTCTCCTCTTTTTTCTTTTATTCATTCCTCTACAAAGATTTTCTTATGTTTACTTCGTTATAACGTTTAACAGACTTTCCGTAGAATTAACATTAAAACACGCGCACGTTCTCAGATATTTAAACAAAACAAAAGAAAAAAATTAAGATAGATGCATTAGTAAAAAAACATTATTATAATTTTAATGAAATAGTTGGTTATCATTCGTTTCTGTATTGCTTGCTGCTTTTTTTTTTTTTTTTTTTTTTTTGTTTTTAAATTAGTTATTATTAAACTAAATGTTAATTAACATCGTTACAAAATGTTTTCAAAACAACATAAAATTAAACATGCTTAAAAGTGATATTAAAAATATAAATATTGTTAATTTGTATGAAATTCTTACTATATTATACTTCAGTTATAAATTATCAATAGAAAGTTATGTTTGATTGTATTGAGATATACTGTAATTATACGTAATTGGTATGGAAATTACCTTAACACTCAAATTTATATTCCGATTTATCATATTATATAACGAACCAATTTTCAATATTATCGTAACAGTAATTTACCATATCATTACATCTATATGATTAATACAATACTCATTCGATAATATATAAAAGTTATCATACGTAAATTACTTTCAAATGTCAAAAGTATGTAATATAATAACGTAATCCTTTACTCGCTACACTTGCTTGTTATATAATAATTAATAATATAGACGCATATCCGAGAGATGTAATATTTGAGCTATCAATTTTGATTTCATCATAGAATGTGCGCAATCTTATAAGCTCTTAAGAGCTTATACCATAAAAGGCTTGTGAGCTTTTACTCACTCGCTCGTCATCAACGAGCTAACAGTTGGTGTAGAAATTTAAAAATCTGAATAACCTGAAATTACTCTTATTAATTATTGCTCGATTGATTACTGTTTTAACACTGCTTTTAGTCGCGATTAAATAATATATTGCCTCACTGTTTTAATCTTTTCAAGTAAATATATAGTTTCAACATTAACCAAGGAAAATACTTCGAAAACAACATTAATTTAAAACTTTTCTAATTAAAAAAAAAAAAAAAAAACTGCATTAATAACTTCATAAAAATACTATGAGTTTTATACGTTTGGTTTACAATATAAATAAAATCCTTAAGACATAACGTTATAAAAAGAAGAAAATTATTTATGTCCTTATACAATTTATCACCAGTAGATTTATAATAATACATAATTATTACTTTTACCTTCATTTTGTTTCTCATGCCTTAAATTAATCCTTAAATATTACGGCCCTTATAGAATTATTATTATTATCATTATCATTATCATTATTGTTATTATTATTATTATTATTATCAGTCCCGATAGCATTTCACTCCCTGCATTCGGCAATGTTTTATGAAAATGTTCTATTCTCGCAATTTCTTTGAAATACCAATGATTTCCATATCCCATATTCCAAGAGGTTCATACTCCATACTCGCCAGGATCTATCCTACGGGCAATGGGCGCGTTAGAAAACAACGGCGCTTAGCGCGTACAACAACTGGCTTAGAAAATTGTTAAATTTCGATAGATAATGCGAGGGCGCAGACTGACACGTCGACGCAGCCCTCGATAAATAGAGGTGCAGCACGGCAAATGTATGGAAGCGGTAGTTTGCGACAGACGGGCAGCCTGCCAATTCTTGGCAGCACCACTGATTTACCCCCTCGTCGTAACAAGGGCAAGGAGGAGCCGAAAAATGCCTTGGGACGCAAGGAAGATCACGGCGGCAAGAGTCATGAGCACGAAATGGATAAAAGTCACGGTAGGTTAGGTTTAATGACATTATTATCGTTAGAGGGGGCATGGGGTAAGAAAGTGGTAGTGGTAAGGGGGTGGGGGGGGGGGGGAGGGGGAGAGGGGGGGGGGGGAAGCTCCCCGTGTCTTACCATCTGACGAAAGAGGAGTTGGATATTTTGGAAAACCATTTTCGCTCATTAATGTAATAATCTCTCGAGCTCGCATAATATTTTTAAAATAAGATTACAGTCATTTATCATGTAAATTTCTAAGTTGGGCCAACCTCTCAATGTTGAAGAATATTGAATAAATGCACGTTGCATAATAGAAATTTCGTTTTACCGCGGTTGAAAATGCTGCGCTACGACTTAAAATGAAAAAATAACAATCGTTATATTTGGTATTTTATGAATTGGCGCTCGCACCTTTTGAATTTCATTAACCTTGCAATAATTCACTATTTTGGCCGATCATAGTCTATGCATTTATATTTATATTTATATTGCAAATTTTATAAATCATCATATAACAATATAGAAGTTCATCTTAATTTTATTGGCATACGTTCGAACAATGCTTAAAAGCATCGATTATTCACAAATATTATAAGATATATTTTTTGCACTTGGCATTATTGTAAAGTACATAAACTAGGTATATTTTTCGTAAATATATCGCCATATATGAAAATTAAAATTGAAATTAAAATTAATATGCAGTATAAATTACATTGTAATCTTTCCGTAATAATTATAAATGATTATTGTCGCTCGAATACTTTTTTATAATTCCCTTATAATTCAAGGTACAATTGCAAAAAAGATATTCAAATATGACTCGAGCCTGGAACAAAATCTAAATATAATAAACTATAGTGTACTGTACGTAAGGAATGGTTCACATTTTTTTTTTTTTATCGTAGCAAGACAATATTTATACATACAATACAATAGCATAAAGAATTAAATGAATTAGTTCGTCTTACAAATATAATATTCGTAACGAATGAAAATTTCACACACACATATATGCATTTTTTTGTTTTTAACTCTTTAAAATAAGTGTTAATAGACATTATGCTCAATTTATTATTTAATATATATATATATATATATATATATATATATAATAGGGCCAACCGTAAAATACGACATTATGAAATAATGGAGATTATAAAATACATATATTAATCAATATATTAAATTCTTATTGTTACGCAATTTCATTAGAAACTCTTATCCGAGTGATTTCCAAATAACAAACTTTCCTTCAATCGATTTTCCTTAATCATAATTTGAAAATTATCAATATATAACATTATTTATAATTGATTGTTAACTAAGAATCACTCTTAGATCAATGTATTTGTTATTTGAATCTCTTCTCTATAAATTAATCGGCGTAAATACACAAGTTCGATCAATGAAATGAGCTTCTACATCCTTTCAACTCGATTCCACCACTAATGCACTCAGATCATGACGCATATCATCCTCTTATTTACCAATTATAATATATATATATATATATATATATATATATAAATAATACAAATAAATCATAAATTAACACGTTGTCTCTTAAACAATCAACGTCCTCGACTCGATGGAGAGGACCAAATTTTTGTTCCTTACACATGGTCGACTCGTAGCTTGCTCCACCATAAAAGATATTCCCATGTAACATTACTTACTACAGATGGTATCGCTGAACATGCCCATGAATCCTCAAGTCGTTTCGGATACGGCAGTTATGGCGCATCGAGTCGTCAAAAAATGCACTCGTTACCACCGGACTTTTACGGGCGCTCGCCACTCCCGGACGAAGGCTTCGACGACGATGCCGAGGATTTTCCGAGTTATCGGAATGGTGCCCCCGTTAATGGAATGCGCCTTCAGCCCGGATCCGGCGGCAATTACGGCGGACAGGGTAGAAATGCTAATAACGGACGCGGTATCGATGGTGGCTTCGTCCATGGTAGTTTCTACAGCAGCTCGGATACAGGTTCGTTATAGCTATTCTCCCATTTAGCGGCTCATTTTGTCATGAAAGCTCATTTGCACAAATCCATATTTGACACCCAATGAAAATTCGACTCGGCAATCAATACCTATAATTACATTCAAATTCTGAAATTTAATGTGAGAATAATTTGCAACTGGATATTTGAACAGTAATGGACTTAAACTAATATTGTTAATCGACAAAATTGTATTTTGTGATTCACTACTCTTACACGATAAGACCATTTACGTACATTGAAATTTCCATAACCGTCTATCTAAAAATACAAAATAAATGACTAAACAAGTGTATGTTACATTATACTCTGTATTATCAGGAGCAATAGGACGAATGTATTAATGGGTTTTCGGATTAAATGTAGATTTATTTAGAATGAAATGAAATTGTTTTGATTTCTGGATGGATTTCTGAACACTGTGCTAAGTAATTCAAACGCATTATTACTTTACGTATATTCTTGAAAATAAATATTCGACTAAGGACGCTTTTGTTACAAAAATACAATTATCTTTTAATCGTAATTGTCCGATTCTCTGATTACAAAATATTTCTGGAATAATAAGCACGCGAAGCTTCGATTTTAATTCGATAATATCACCAAGCGAGTTGGACACATTTAATTCTCTCGTTTGTCACCTGCAATACCAAGTTAACCACCGACAATTAACGTAAACGAAACTAAATTTTGTTTAGGATATGACGAGGCGGATCGATCGAGATTTCGAACGGAGATGGAGCGTGGGCATGGATTTGGGCAGCACGGGGAGCCAAACGATCGATTTGGAACTGATCACAAGGCACTTGTTCAAGAAGCGGAAGATGACGACGAAAGTAGGGTGGAAGCGCCTATTACCTGCGAGTCTATTTGCACAAATGAACAATTTTTATGCTACAGCACATGCACTTGTATTGCGCTTGAAAATAGATGCGACGGGGACGTAAGTAGAGATTTAATATGATATGATATATTGTGCGATGATAAATGATCCATAATTTACGTAGCGCCGTTGGGAAGGCAGCCAATAATTTTGCATACGATCTATCGGATGTCGACCTTGCAGTCCTTAAAAATTTTCTTTAATTCTTCAATGATAGTAATCCGTTAATGAAAAACGTAAGATAAGAAAGATTTTGTGCTGCCTTGGTGTATTATTTTGCGCCGAAGTAAGAGAGTCGTTAATTTTCTATAATAAACCGTAATTAAAATGTAAATATAAAGTGTAATTATTTCAATTATATTTATTAGAAATTTAGAAGCCGTTCGTGCAGGTAAGATTTTCGAAAATGAGCATATAATATTAATAACCGGAGGACAATGCTAATGAAAGGCCAACAACAATAATAATAATAATAATAATAATAATAATAATATCAAACAATTATCAAGCAGTATTGCGATATAATAATTCCCTTAGAATTATAAAAAAGCATTAGTCTAATTAATCGGATTAAAAACTTGCTGAGTCACTTGTTTACCCGGGCGCGCGCGCCCGCGCACCTACACCATACACAAATAATGTACATTTGAGCTTAAGCATTTTAATAAATTAAATTTCAATAAATCTCATTATTAAATAGGGATTAAAATGCCATTGCGCCAATTTTAATCACTTGAAAATTCGTGAAACAGATGGATTGCGAGAATGCCGATGATGAATTGAATTGCGAGGGCTTCGAGGGACATCATTTCAATGACACTTGCCATGAAAAAAGATCGGTACGATGCCCAACATCTGGCAAATGCATCGCCAAAGAATGGCTGTGCGATGGTGATGATGACTGTGGAGACTTCTCGGACGAATCTCACTGTGGTGATTTGAACTAAATCTACACATTAGAATATGGCGTTTCCACTCGAATACACTTGAACGCAAAGTTTTTTCTTTTATTATTACGACTATATTACCTCATGATAAATATATTTCTAATCGAGATTAAGAATCAAAATCAATTGTAAAAATATATAAATTATTATAATTATAGCCATTCGAGATAGTTTCTGAATGATAACTGATTAATAATCTGCTCAAATAATTGATTATACGTGAAAACAAGAGATGGAGAGAGAGAGAGAGAGAGAGAGAGAGAGAGAGAGAGAGAGAGAGTGAGAGAGAGAGTGAGTGAGAGATAGAGAGATTATAATAAATCAATTTAAAAATATAAGAAAATAATTTTGATGATTCGTACATCTGTCAAATTAATTGAAACTTAGTATAAAAATTAATTACTGCAATTAAAAAGTTTAAATCGATAATTTTATAAGTAACTGATAAATTAAACTTTAGGTATTAAATTAAATTTCGTTTTTTTTTTGTTTTTTTTTTTTTTTTATTATGAATTATTTCAATTTAATGATTCATTTTTGTATAATATAGGACCTCAAAAGAATTGCACCGCTGAACAATTTGAGTGCAGAAATGGACTGTGTATGCCACAAAATTGGATTTGTGACGGTGAAAATGATTGCAAAGACTTTTCGGACGAAGAGAACTGCAGTAAAAAAAAGTAAGAATTACTATTTATATCGTATTTATACTTGTAATGATTATTTATTTCAATTTACATAGGTCGGAAATTCTGCGACGATATGCTTTCATTTATTATATTTACAAAATAAAATTATCATAAGAATGTGAGAGCTAATTTAAAAATGTTTAACGAAGTTTTGAAGAAAATTAATTTTTCTCGGATGAGAAATTGTGTAAATTTTAGAGTCTTTTATTTTGTCGTGAGAGGCGTTCACATTTAATAAAATAATGTTACACTTGAATTAATTAAAATCCAACTAAACCTTATACTTAATACTTCAAAATACGTATATACTTAAATATACATTCATAATAGTTGTTTTTTTTTTCTGAAAAATCAGAGTTCTTTTGTTTTTTTAAATGCCTCTCAAATATTTTTGTATCGAAATGATTAATACGTCAGAATTAGGAGATTCGGAATACATCATTTGAATGCTGATGCTTCTGGTCTCTATATATTATTTTCTGTAATTATGAATCGATTCAATGAGCTTAGGGGTGAGGGAGGGATGGGGGGGCGGGGGTCAGAAAGAGAAAGAGAATACATTACATTAAATACGTATATTGTCGAATCAAAATTTTTAATATAAATTTTATGTTATAATTTGTTCAACGTACAACTAAAATATTTACTAAAGTTTAATTTTCCTATAAATCATCTACTTCAAACATTTTCTCTTCTCGTAAGACCTATTATGTATTTTAAAGGTTTTCTTTTTCTTTTTTATTCCAAATACCTTTTCAAGATTTAAGAACAAAGGTTATTATATTCTAAAATAAAATATTTATTTGAAAATATAGATTAAAGTGTCTAAAATTACCACATATGTTATACGTAATATGGATTATTTCTCGATAATCCATTCATTTATAACAAACGAAATTCTGCTTTTCTTCCTATCAATAAGAAAGCTCATTTATATGCATTACTAGTTAAGCTGGGCATTAGGTTACAGTTTCCAAAATGATCTCATATTATTATGTTAATGTTATTCTATGGTTGACTTTAAATAAAATCTTTTATGACGTTGTGATTGTACAAAAAAAAAGAAAAAAAAAAGTATCAGATAAAAACTTTTATGCAGTAGAAAAATTAAAATCTCAGCGTCTCAATGAATTTGTCCGCTACTTTCTTATTCCACAAATTATTTAAGAAAATTTATCTTTGCGATAATTAATCGAATAGCTGATATACTTCTCTTTAATAATCTTTGACTGTTTGAAACGTCGTGAGTTTTTTTATTTATTCTAACATAGATCGTATTACATAATTATAAAAACAAAGGGGAAGAAAACTCCTTATAATGATATAATTACTAGGTATAACGTGTTTTTATCGAAAATAGAAAAATTTCCACAACATGTCAGTTCTCATTACTAGAAAGTAAATTATATAATTAGAATTCCTAAAACAATTGAAACACAATAAATTGAAGTTTTAATTATCCGATTATTGCAGTTAGATAAATACAAAGCTCGTCCTCTAAATACCGACACATTATAGTATTTTGATGATTTCGATGTAAGATAAAAGAGTAACAATAAATTATACTCGATATTCTGATATATACGATGAGAGAGTCTAATGGTAATACGGGGCCAATTAATTTTATATTCCTTGCAAGAAAGTTCCATTATGTCTTTCCTAATTTACGCTAGTATGATAGAACGATATAGATTACTTTAATTTCATCTCTAAATATTACCTTTAAACTGCACGTAAATAAATTAATTGTAAATCATCATTGTGCGACTAAATATATAATACTGGTGTAACAAATAACTCGTCGATACATATAGATTAATCGGATAAAGTACATCGCATTTGCAAGTATTTGATTTAAATCCTAATTCATTCATCCTAATAATTCCTTTTATATTATCTATGGAGCTAAAAAGATGAGGGAAATGTGCTGCTTATGATAATAAATCAAATTCTCTAAAAAAAAAATGAAAAGAAACGTGATGAATATATATATATATATATATATATTTGATCATGAGAAAAAGTATAATTTATTAAAAAAAAAAAAAAAAAAAAAAAAAAAAAAAGAAAAATTACTTAAGGGTCAAAAGTTGCTCATGAGAAGGACTGACCGGTGATTCAATCCGCTAAGGTGGGTTGCTAAGGGAAACAGAATACGCGATCGTTGTGCATGATATCGACCATGTAGCAGCAGCAGTTCCCCCTCAACTTTCATTCTTTCTCATTTTTTTTTCTCTCTCATCTGTTATATCTTTTTCGAATAATGCTTTCGATATTCCATGTTCCTGAAACTATATTCTTTTTTATTTCTTTTTCTTCTGATTCACATTGCTTTCTTCATTCGGCTCTCTCACATTAACATAAAATCCCTCTGTATTCCATTACTTGTTCTAGCACACAGCCGCGCGCATGTTATATTAACAATTTATTAATTAAGTAACATATAACATATAATGTTAGAAATTATTCTACTATTTACCTAAAACATCGATGTTACCATCATCCAAAATAATTAACGATCTACTTCAATGTATTTTCATATATCTAATTAATATGTCGGTTTCGAGCAAAAATATAAATAAAAAAAAATGTATATATATATATATATATATATATATATATATTTAATACTTTTAATTAAAGTGTTAAAAAAGAATTATTAAGGGATTTAAGATAATTTTAGTAACGCTCATCGACACGGTGTAATTTATTCGAATAAATGAAGATTTTACATGAAAAGTAATTGTTATTAATAAACAAGATATCAGATTTAAAGGTACGATACTGCCTCATTCAAATTCATTTAAAAATATTTTTTTTTTTTAAATTTTATAAATATGCGTGCCCATATTTTGACGATCAAGCAATATTTCAAATACAATTTAGCAAAATTGCTTAGTCGAGCAAATTCAATTTTATAGTGTCATGGCAAACAATTCACTTATATTTTTATTACATGTATAATGTATATATATATATATCTATATATCTTCCGTGAGTATAACAATAATTATCATTAGTAATTAAAATAAAGTTGAAATTACGTTGCTTATTGATTTAAATGGACTTTTATTTAAATTTATATGAATAAATTTTTCATTCTAACAATATGCAATATTACTTTTTAATAAATATTATTTAATCAATAAATAAGTAATATTGATAGAAATAACTACCGATATGCTAATAAATAAAGTTTTGTAATTAATGTCGTGTTAATAAAGTAGTAATATTTGCAAAATTATTTTAGGAAAATTCATGTTAAATATAGTTTGTAGTAATCTAAAAAGTTTCGAGAGTTAGGCAAAAATAGAGGAAGTAATAACTATGCATGGAAAAAGTACCCTCGATAGTAAACAATAAGTCAAGGCATAAAAAAGCGTCTGGGAAACAAAAGAGATAGTCGAATAGACAATGGAGAGAAAGGGAATAGGATAGGAGAACAAAAAAAGAGGAAGTAGGAAAGAATAAGGGAAAAGAATGAACTCTATGTAAAAGAGAGATAATATATCTATAACAATTCATGTGAAGCAATGAAAGATAGCCATGAAAGGAAAAAGTAAAATGAAAATAAAAATTCTAACGGAGGCATAAAGTCCGATGGATAAGTCTTAACGTTAAGCACAAGCTCGATACGTAATGAGGAGTACTATGGAAAATCGTCAAAAAACACATAAATAATTAAATAAAAAGACTGGATAAAAATGATAAAAATAAAAATGAACAATATGTAATGTCTTATGCCCACTTTTATATTAGAAATACTTTTATTATTAATGATAAAATAGGAAAAAATGATAAAATCATAAAGCTATGATATAACGGTGAAAAAGAAGTTCTATTTAAAAAGATATAATTGGTTTTTTTTTTTTTGTTTTTCTTTTGCGAGAAAATATGATGCATAAAGGAAACGGTAATACGGAAAATTTAAAAGGTAAAAGTTCTGAAAGATACTAAATTCATTGGTGCATCAAAATTATAATTACAGTACTTTAATTTGGTAAAGCTAAAAATTATGCTCATTTAATTAAAAAGTGAAACAACATGTATAATTAATTATTAATAAGAGGGCAATATTTATCGTTGAAAGATAACAAGCAGAAAAAATAATGTTTATTAAGAGAACGCGAGCGTCATAAAATCTTACATAAATTAATTAATTATTTAGATGCAAAAAAATATTTGCGTTGTTTATATTGACAAGAAAATGTAGTTGAAGGTTCAAGAGATATATTCAGCAAAAATAACGGAATCTTAGAATAAGAAAATATGTATTTAGTATATAATTAAATATCTTTAGAATAATTATGAAACGCCTAATTTAAATTAAATGAAAGTAGTAGAAAAAAAAAAAAAAAAAAAAAAAAAAAAAAAAAATCATAATAAACCATCATCACTGCTACAAATTAATAAATTTCTTAAATATCTTTAAATTTCAATTATCAATCATTATTAAACAGACATTATTATGAATCACATCAGTTTAATTATAAACTCTTATTTATAATTAAGTATTTGATTAAATGCGCATTTCATAATGCCACTCTTGCATTTAAGACATTTTCAAGTTAATTAAATCCTATAATGCAAACTTTTTTTGCCTGACTCGATGTTTCCTTGAAACAGGTTGTGCTATGACAGCGATTTCGTGTGTCTCGATGGAACTTGCATTTGGGATTATTTACGATGTAATGGCCAAAAGGATTGTGCAGATGGAAGTGACGAATTAAAATGTGGTAATTACTTTTACACAACATCTATTACAAAATAGAAAGTTCTTTTTGTTTTTTTTGTTTTTTTTTTCCCCTCAAAGTGTCAAACCGTGAGTGTACAAACCGTGTCAAATGCATTTACAGAAATGATCGACATTCAGTGCAAAGAGCATCAGTTCCAATGCACATATCCAAGATGTATTTCGCTATTATTTAGATGCGATGGAGATGATGATTGCGGCGACGGCAGTGACGAGGAAAACTGCCCAGCAGCAACAGACGCCAGTTGTAATACTAACGAATTCAGGTGAAATTAATCAAGTGCTTTCTTAGCTTTTATTATTGCTATTATTGTAAAGTTTATGGATTTTTGCACAATGACAATGGCTTGACAAAAACTCAGGCAAATATAGTACTTTCATAGTCGTGGCACTAGATATAGCATTAAGAAATTTAAAAATTAAAAATTTGTTACAATATTACGAGCAATGTGATGTCTATTAGCTAAGGGCTGTCGATGTAAATTGTTAGATAATTATCTGCATTATTTATTTATAAAACTGTTGTCATTTTAATTATAAATTTCTGATTATACCTGTATAATATATTAAATTAGTTTAACTTAATAAATTCAACTAAGAAATTTATTATATTTCTTCCATTAGCTATTTTAATCAAACCAATTGACAATGATCATTTATTTATTTATTTAATTTTTTTTTCTATTTTAGATGCGCAAGTGGATACTGCATAAATAAGAAATGGGTCTGTGATAAGGAAATTGAATGTCGAGATGGGGATGATGAACGCGATTGTCAATATCCTATGCCTGAAAATTGTTCATCTAAAGAGGAATTTACGTGTTCACCTGGCGTGTGCATACCAGTAAGTATTTCAATATTATAACTTTAATATTTTCTCTCACTTTTTACATAATATAATATTTTACAAACAAATGTTAATTAAAATTTAATTTGTATTTTTTTTTTTTTTTTTTTTTTTTTAAGCATTAGAAGTTTATAAAATTTGTTATTAAAATAAGCGCCAGCGACTATTAATACGCCTGTACATAAATTTATTATCTGATAATATTTTAATTTTTATCGGAATAAGATTCTTGTAAATGGCGACAAAAAAGGTTTATTCGTATTTTATTTTGTTTTTTTTTTTTGTTTTGTTTTTTGTTTAATATACTAATAGCATTGAATAGTTAATGCAAATAACAATAATAATAACAATAATAACAATAATAATAACAACAATAACAATAATAATAATAATAATAACAATAACAATAATAATAATAATAATAATAATAATAATAAATAAAAGAAAATAGTAAAATTATGATAAAACAATATAGCTCGGTGTGTAACTATAAAACTATTTATGACAAAAGCGCTCGTGGGCTTGCGATGGTGTACCCGATTGTTCGAACGGTGAGGACGAAGAAGGATGCCAAATTGGCTGTGAGCTCACCCAATATCTTTGCAGATTTAGTACCAATGAGAGCAGGAGCAGTGATTTATTAGGCAACTGGAATTCACATGGACGTGATCCTCATCATAATTGTATCAGCATGAAGTACGTTTGTGATGGCGAATCCGATTGTCCCGAGAAGGATGGTAAGCATAATATTTAATTACTATTGCAGATAGATGAACTTGCTGTATTTGATCGACAATGTTTTTAATACAAATATCAAAGGAAATAGAAATGACTCGACTAAAAATAGCTAAATGCATAAAATGTTAATATACGTAAAATCATAAGAAATCATAACGTGAAATAGTTAATAAAAAAAAAAAAAAAAAAAGAAAGAAAAGAAAATATTGTTTCTCAAATACATAATCTCACGTTGAATTCGTTGCTTGTTGACAGATGAAGAAAATTGTCCGAGAAAGGTGCAGTGTAACGAAAAGGACAAATGTTCACAATTATGTATTTTAACTAATGACAATCAAAGAGCTTGTTCGTGTAAGCCTGGATATTCTTTAGCAAAGGACAGCACAACTTGCGAGGATATTAATGAATGCGAATTTGAAAAAGTATGGCCACCACTAAGTCGTTCACGACTATCGCATAAAAGAAAAAAAAAACAAACAGACGTTATTTTAAAATTAACGTTTTCAAAATTTTTATAGGATCCAGTGTGTAGTCAATCGTGTAAAAATACAAAAGGCTCTTTTATATGTGAGTGTGCAAAAGGATATATTTTACGTCCAGATTTACGATCGTGTAAAGCTTTAGGCGCTAATCCGACTTTGCTTCTTGCAAATAGAGTGGACATTCGACAGGTAAAAGTCTTTTTCAACACGTCTGTGTTGTTTTATTAAAATTCAATTAAACAATAATAAGTACGGCAGAGAGATATCAATATGAATTTATCATTGTGAAATAAGTATCCAACTAATATAACAATCGCATATTTTTGTCTTTTTATTCTCACTATTGAGCATCTGAAGCGAAAATTATTTATTGGCCGACTTAAATGTTTAATTTAATCATAAATTCGGTAATTACTAGGTCAGCATTAACGGTCCAAAGTACACATCCGTCCTTAAAGGTCTCCCTAACGCAATTGCCTTAGATTATCATTACAAGCGTGGTCTTATCTTTTGGTCGGACGTTTCGATGGATGTTATTCGTAAAGCTTATGTCAATGGGAGCGGAAGCGATGGTAGGAACAATTTTTTAAAAAATTCACCTTTCACAGCATGTCGAGTGACGCAAGTCGATCGATAAAGCCAATCCGTTAAAATGCCGATAGATTTCATTCGCTGGGGCCTCGAGAGCACGGGTGGTATAGCAATCGATTGGATCCATGATCTCTTGTTCTGGACTGATTCGGGAACTAGACGCGTCGAAGTCATTACTCTCGATACTCGTGTGCGACACGTGCTCGTGTCTAGCGACATAGACAAGCCACGAGCAATCGCAGTTCATCCACATTATGGTTTTGTCTATTGGACTGATTGGGGTAAGCTTGTTAAGTACCTAAGCCTTTCAATTATCAACAATGTCATAACATTCTCATTGTCAATTGCAATTTCAAAGAATATACGCGAGCAATGTGAGAGTAGTCAATGTTTAAAGAGAGAAAAAAGAAAAAGAAGGAAAATGACATTATTCCTTGTTGACGGGAGATAGAGGTAGTCTTATGGATATTTTGGAATGACAAAATTATTATTTAACGCTTATGTTAATAGTAAAAAACGAAAATAAAAATTGTTTAAAGTACTTTATCTTCGTGTGCAGCTTAAAAATATATGCATAACCTTATATAAATAAATAAATAATCACAAACAAAAACAAAAACAAAAACAAAAACAAAAACAAAATCCTTGTAATAATTATTATAATTAAACTCCACAATTTAATGAAAATTTATTAACGAAATATAAAATTTTTATACGTAGGACCGAATCCGAAAATTGAACGTGCCGACATGGATGGCTTACATCGATCCGTATTAATAAAGGACAACATTTACTGGCCAAATGGATTGACGATTGATTACACGACCGATCGTATCTATTGGATCGATGCCAAGCATCAAGTTATCGAGTCTGCCCATATTCATGGCACCGATCGTAAAAAGATCGTTACGCGAGGTCTTCATCATCCGTTCGCGATTACAGTTTTCGAAGATGCGGTTTACTGGACCGATTGGCACTTCAAAAGTATTTCCGTGGCTAATAAAAATAGCGGTCACGGATTCAAAACTATTCATTCGGGGCTACACTTTCCCATGGATCTTCACAGTTATCATCCACAAAGGCAGCCCGACTATGTTAACCACTGCGGTAAAAATAATGGAAAATGCTCGCACATGTGTCTACCAAAGAACATGGGCTACAGCTGCGTCTGCCCAGTTGGATTAAAAATTAAAAAAGATGGCAAAACCTGCGCTGAAAGCGCTGACAATTTATTGGTATTCGCGAGAAAGAAGGATTTACGATTGATTAGCTTGGATCAAGTGGCTAAGGCATTTGACATTGTAATACCACTCGATAATATTGAAAGTGCCGTTGCTCTTACTTGGAACTCGAATGATGATAGCATTTATTGGACAGACGTCGAGGCCGACTCGATTTCCAAAGCTAATCTCGACGGAACCAATCAGCAAGCCATCATTAGCAATAATCTTGGTCGGTATATTTACGCTTGAAATATTTTTCCAACATTTTCAAATGATTGCCCGTGAAACTCTACCATTTATATTCCAATAGCTATCTATATATCTCCAAAATCTCTCTCTCTCTCTCTCTCTCTCTATATATATATATATATATATATATAGAGAGAGAGAGAGAGAGAGAGAGAATAATAACTCATTAAATTTTTATTACAATTTATAGGCGGATGAATTTTTAAGCTAATTTATTGCTAAGCGTCATTTTGAGCAAGCAGAACTTAAATAAAAAAAAAACAACAAATGCATATTTCAGAATCGCCAGCTGGACTTGCAATGGAATGGATAACAAACAAATTATATTGGACCGATGCTGGGACAAATAGAATAGAATGTTCGGCTTTAAATGGAAGTATGAGAACATTATTAATTTATGAGGATCTTGATAAGCCGAGGGATATTGTCGTTAATCCAATATGTAAGTGTGTGTAAAATCACTTGAAATAATAAACTCACTTCGATACTAACCATACAAATTTGTTTAATAACATTACTTTACTTGATAGCCGGCTATATGTATTGGAGCGATTGGGGTAAAAATCCAAAAATTGAAATAGCCGCATTGGATGGCTTGGACAGACGAGTTCTTATAAGTACAAACCTAACTTGGCCCAATGGTTTGGCTATTGATTTTGAAAAGAATCGGCTTTACTGGGCCGATGGTGGGACCAGTAAAATAGAATACTCCGACCTTGATGGAAATCACAGAACCACCATAATACCAGCTTGTAAATACTTGAAAACTTTTACTCTTTTTTTTTGTTTTTTTTTTTTTTAATTTAAAGATACGATTACGTATATATTTATTAAATAATTTAATAAATAATAAACCGTTTTATCTAATCGATATTACCGGAATAATTTTCAGCCGATACAAAACATCCCTTTGGTCTTGTGATCTACAAAAACAAAATATATTGGACAGACTGGGACACCATGAGCATTCATCGCGCTGACAAGGATACCGGGAAAAATGTAATAGTTATCCGTTCAGGCATTACAGGACTTATGGATGTTCGGGTTTTCCATAGGACACGGCCGACCATACCCAATCCTTGCGGTATCAATAATGGAAATTGTTCGCATCTTTGTTTATTAGTACCTCTGCCCAAACGCTACAGATGCGCTTGTCCCACTGGTCTAATTTTATCGGTAAGCAATGCAGTCACTCAAGTTTTATTTATTTATATAACTATTTTCTACATAATCATTTAATACTATTAATGAACTGTCTTCGTAGAAGAATTGTTTATTTTATTTATTTTTTGAAAAATTTTCAATCAAATTAACGTTTTCTTTCTGTTAAAAACAAAAAAACACACACGCGCGCACACACGCGCGCACACAAAAGAAACAAAAACAAAAACATAAATCTTTTGAAAGGAGAAGGAATTCAATTGGTTATTTGATTATTATTATTATTATCGTGATCAGCCCGATGGAAAAACATGCCCAGAAATGCCAACGAAATTTCTTCTGATGTCTCACCGCATTGATATTCGCGTTCTGTCGTTGGATACAAATTATACAGCCGACACAGTCTTATCTGTTGGGCACATGAAAAATGTAAGTGGAGCAGACATCGATTTGGAAAGTGGACATATTTATTGGACCGATCCTGGCCAACCTTACACAAAGCTTATCAAAAAGATGTCCTTTAAAGGTCAATCCGAAGAGACTGTGATTGATGGCTGCATCGACACCGTCGATAGTCTCGTGGTTGATTCGATTGGTAAAAAGGTAAATGTAAATTAAATAAATATTTCATTTTCTTATCAGCGGAGAAATTATATGCGTTGATTGGCAATTGATAGTATCCTTATATCATGATAATCAGTCTATTAAAAATAACAAATAGTATTGAAATAAGAAATTAAAAATTGCATCGCATGAAATTATAATGTTAATGATCTAAAAATTGTTCATGTTTTGTTCCGAGAATTTTATTCCGAGAGGATTTATCGTATAAAGTATCGAATTAAAAGACTTCCTCTCATCTTTCCATTAAATTTTCAAATTTTATCAAAACTTTCCCATTAATATATTTCAAAAACTAATGCAAACTCACAGTACTGCATAATCAAAAATAGCCTTATTCTAATGAGAAAAGTAGCTTCATCGTAACTTTACATAAGTATAATGAAAAAAAGATAGAAAAAAAAAAAAAAAAAAAAAAACAAGTAGAATAAAAAATTTAATTTTATTCTCTACTAAAATAAAATGAAGCATAGATTTTATACGATTTCTCTCGAATTCCCAGTTCACGGATTAAAGAAACGTTGGGCATTTCACTCGCAGACAACTATCAATTATTTCTTTAATTAATTAATGCTAAAACTGTGATCGCTTAAGCGTAGTAATACGATTTGTCGAATAATCTTCCTATTGAACAATCAGCTTTATTGGACGGATGTTGGACTGAACAGCATCGAAGTGAGCGAACTCGATGGCACGAACCGCAAGGTTCTCGTCTGGTCTGGGCTGGATAATCCTCGTGCTATTGCCCTTCATTACCCAGCGGGTCTCCTATTCTGGTCGGATTGGGGCCACAATGCACGAATAGAACGCGCCGACATGGATGGCGAACATCGTACGGCCGTGGTCACCGAGGGTCTCACCTGGCCCAATGGTCTGTCAATCGACCAGCTTGCCAATCGAATCTACTGGAACGATGCGAAGAAGAAGGTTATCGAGAGCTCGGACCTCCAGGGTCAGAATCGCAGGATTATTGTTGAGAAGGTCGAGCATCCTTATGGATTGGCCGTTGTTGGGAATTATATTTATTGGAGCGACTGGCAGGAAAAGGCATTGTTAAAAGCTAAAAAGAACGATGGTAAAAGTAGGAGGATTGTCCTTGGGAATCTTGAAGGTATAATGGACTTGCGTCTCATCGATGTAAGTTTTCAACATTATCAACATTCATTGGGCTTCGTATATTCATAATGAACCGTTGGATAAATTTCTTTGTAGCGCTAAGTAAGCGGCGATCTCAAGACTGACAATTACTCTAAACAATTGTTTCATTTGCAGAAAGGACAAGTGCAGCCTGAAAATTCTTGTAATAACAATAATGGCGGATGTTCTCATTTGTGCTTGCGTAATACCAGCGGCTATACTTGCGCTTGCCCTACTGGTATACTGATAAATAACGACAGAAAAACGTGCAATAGTACGCCAACCAATTTTTTGCTATTAGCAACGAAGAAAACATTGGTCAGAATGTCATTGGACACGCCAGAAATGTGGGAGGTACCGTTAACGATGAAGCACGTACCACACGCTTTCTCCGTTGATTTTCATTGGCAGAAGCAACTTATTTTTTACACGGACGTCGATGTTAAAGTTATTAGGTACTGGAACATATTATGTTGAATAATTGATTTACGTTTTTATTTGAAAAATTGAGGATAAAATACAAAATATATCCCAAGGATATGCATGCAACGTGAGAGTATCGTATTCATATTATTGCTTACATAAAGATCAATTGTGAACATTAATTATTTAGAATAATTATAAGACAATTTCCACGATAACGTAAGTACAACGTAAACTTATAGTATTATTTAATAACCTCGTCAGAGTAGCAAAAAATATTTATTTACGACTTCATATGTATTATTATGCCTGCTTTACATAATTGTAATAATTGTAAAGTCCAATATTCTGGCAATGTCATGTCTAATAAGCTTCGATTTTTTTTCTTTTTTTTTTCTATATCCGATACCTTAATGCCTACCTTACTACGCGTCCCTATTCACTCGTCACATCTCATTTGTGCTCGCAGAAGAGTCAGTGTGCGTAACTTCAACGATGTGAAAGTCGTAGTCTGGGGACGCAACGTTTCCACTCCGTTCCGCCTTGCTGTAGATTGGCTTGGTAATAACATTTATTGGACCGATATTAAGCACCAATTAATCGAAGTGGCTCGACTGGATGGCTCTTGTCGCAAAAAATTAATTGAAAATCTCAAGTCACCACGTTCGCTCGCCATATTTCCAAACGAGGGTTACATTTATTGGGCCGAATGGAGTCATCATCCAACCATCGAACGCGCTTATTTAGATGGCAGCAATAAAAAGAGTATTATATCAACGGACCTGAGTCTGCCTAATGGACTGTCGATAGATTATGCAGCTAGAAAATTATATTGGGCCGATGCACTGAAAAACAGAATCGAGGTCTCGGATTTACACGGGAGGTACAGAATCGCTCTTGTACCTCAAGCCGACAATGCCTTTGGTTTATCGCAGGTACGATTATCAATTTGCACTTATTTGCACCTGACAATGGGTTATGGGCACATTCATTGTTTCTCCATTACTACTACGCTCTTTTAATAAATGGACAACTAATTAAAATAGGGACATTTGAAACAAGAAAGAAAAGTTGACAATCCAAAGTTCAATACAAGTTCATACACGAATATTATTATAAAAAATACAAATCATTATAAAAAATTAATATAAATATATATATATATATGTATTTTTACACGTACGTGTATGCGTATTTCTATTCAAAATGAAAATTTGTATCAACAATAAATTTAATTACACACGTGTACTTTGAAATGCATTTTTTCCTTCATAAAATCACTTTTACGAAAATCTTCATGAAGGAATCAATCATTAAAGCAATAAAACAATTGTCCAACAAAACTAATTATATAATAAAATTAGTCACATTTTATGGACTGACGCGTGGACAGGAATTTACGTGATTTGCGATTTGATAATAATTGTTTCAGTATGGAAATAATATATACTGGGGCGACTGGTTCAAAGAGATGATTGAACGAGCCGATAAGAGAACGGGGAAGAATCGAAATAAAATTCGCACGGCTTTGGATGGTACTGCGGAGATTCGAGCAGTTTCCGCAGAAAGACAAACTGGATGGAATCCTTGCGTTATTGACAACGGAGGCTGCAGTCATCTTTGTTTCTACACAAAGAAAAATTACACTTGCGGATGTCCCGATCAGCCGGACACTACTCCTTGTTCTGCAGGTTTATTATCTATTTTCCCATCTTGTATCTTATATAAGTGGCAATGGTTTTTTTTTTTTTTTTTTTTTTTTTTTGTAACACATGACACGCTACGACGTTCAAGAAGAAGAAGATAAAAAGTATTCGAATTTAATTGCTGATAAAGGGATATCGCGTTAATAATCGCTATGCTATTTATGAGATGCTTAAGCGAAAAATGCAATTCTCTTAAAATCCAGTGAATAAAAAACTGCGTAAACTTTTGTACGAAAATTGAATCGATTCTATGATCAGTTTGATCTCAAAAGTACGTGAAATGGAAATGTCGATTGTTACGAGCCATAATAAAATCAACTCGATTCAATTAATTTAATAGCAATTCTTGCTGTTATTAGTAGTTCCATACTTTTATTGTCACTTCGTCACTTTAATTAGTCTTTACAAAACATAATACAAACATGTATATCAATACTCTGTAACCATTTCTGTCACATATATTTACTTACGTACGTGCCTTCTTCCGTAAACGACATTTTTATCTTTTTAATAATATGAACGTTAATTTTTACTTTTATCATTTGCTACTATGGCAAAACAAAAATTTTTAATTTACTGCAAATTGACGCAATTTTTCTTCTTCAAATATTAGCAGGTATAATACATCCGCTTTATTCTTCAATGTATGTACAATTTATTTCTTATTCAATTCTGTTATTTTATTGTAATGTATCATATGTATGCAGATATTACTTGAAACTAATTGATACACTAAATTGATTAAAGCACAATTAAATCGAGCCCTAGTAAAATTAATTAACTCTCAATAAATATTGATAATTGTGAAGTACCATCAAAATTCAATTTTTTAATTAAGTTAAATGCAAAATCGTAAAATATTATTTTTAAATTGATCGAATCAGACTTACGCGAAACGTTTACAACGATAACATAAATTCTCTTTTCAAACAAATTAATAATAGTTAAATTGATTGGTTTCACGAGGCATACGAAAAACATACAATAATTCATACAGACAATTTTTTTTTTCGATTTCCAATCTCTTATTACTTGAGTAATTTAGCGTGTATTTCATCTCGACTGATCGGAACTTTTAACTTATTTTTAAACATTGCGTTTTCATTGAGCAATTTGGCCAATTCAGTTGCTACAGTTTTCATAGAAAAAGTGATCTGATCCAACCAAAATTGAAAATTTTACTTAAAACTTAATACATTATTTTATTTATGTGGAATATAAAAAAAAAAAAAAAAAAAAAAAAAAAAAGACTTTTTATGACAAATTTTTGGAAGGGATAAATTTGTACCTTTTCTTTTCCAGTACCAAAGAGGTGGATACCACTGCGTAAACCTGGCACCGAAAACGATCCAAATTACGACATTATCGATGATGAAGATATACCACCAACAATCAAGACATTGATTGGGACTAATCGGAATCAAGGCGATAACAAGCTAAACGATTATAATCGAAATAGCAGCGATACGATAAGTCTGCGTACAATGATTACCACTACGGTTATTCTCCTCATAATCACTGTTGCCATAATCATAATAATCATTTACTTGCAATGTCCGCGTAAGAACAAACGAGATGATTATACGTACAACAATCGAAGGAATGTGTTGACTTTCTCGAATCCTAACTACAATGCCTCGGCAGGGACGGAACTCGCGACACCGACGGTTCAACAGCCCCAAGACAAAAAGGGCTTCATATGGAAAAGGCTAAAATACGATAAGTCCCAGGTACGACAAAGATGATATATCCTATGATTTCGATTTTGAGAAAATTCCTCCTGAAGATACCTGATGATAAAATGACGATCGACAATTGAGTTTGACTGTCGTCTGAATTTCCATATTCTTATATGTCAAGCGTACTTATTTGCTTAATACAATGAGACCAAAAGCTTTGATTCTTCAATTATCGAGCAATGGTGTGCAGAATAGAAAAGATATGGAATATAACATTAAATTCATATACTTTTGTTAAAATAACAAATAAATACTATCGTTATTACTATTCGTTCGTTCTTATATGAAATAGAGAATATTCTTTTAAAATCCCGAGTTTTTAAATAAATAAATAATTTATTGTATTGTTATATATAATATCATAAACACGATTAAAAATATTTTTTCTATTTGTTCTGCTTTCATTTATTTAAATTGGAGAATCCAAGTATTTATAATATCGAATTTTAATGCTAAATATTTTGCATATTTCTTTATTTAATGTTGACGAATAAAATTTACGTCTACGAATAGAATAGATTTTTATTAAACATAGCGTTTATTTATCATTTTTAAATTTAAATTTTCTTCTATAAATCTTTTTATTTACATCGTGTATATCGTGATTAAAAAAAAAAAAAATATATATATATATATATATTTGTTTTTGTTTTTGTTTTTGTTTTCATAAACATATATGTGCTAGTCGAATATGCAACAATTTAATATTTTTTCTTTTTCATCATTAAAGCTTTGAACTACACTCTATTATACTTGACAATTGACAATTATTTTTCTTTGAAACTCTCCCTTTCTAAATATACACATTTGGTATTTATTTCTATCTCACCTTACCTTCCGATCTATCGATTTAATCGAACTAATATTATCTGCTCTTTTCCTTCTCACTCTTTTATAGCACTTCTAAGCTATTATAAATTAATATGCTATTTTTTTAAAAGGTTTGCAAATAAACATAATATCGACATTGCATGAGATGTAATCATATTTAGAGTACAATAAATATATTTCGAATATGATAGTGCAGATACAATTTTTAATACACTCTATCAGCATGAGTTAGTTAAGAAAATTATGAAAATATTTGATAATATTGCAATATTTCATTCTAAAAATCTTGTTTTTATCCGGACAATTTTAACACGAATATTGTTGAGTATGCGATTGATTATTAATTTAAAAAATTAATACTCGGGAATCTTAATACCTATTTTAATTTTTATTTGTAATGTAAAAAATGTGACTAGTAGAACAATTAAAACAACGAAATAATAAATTGCCTATTAATTATTAAGAAGCTGTAAACACAAATTTAATAAAGTTCCATTGTTATTCACGATATCTAACAGACGCATGTTGGGCAAATTACGAAACGTGCCATCATCGATCCACAGAATTTCGGTAAAAATGTTTAAAAAGACAATAAACAAGGAATCTCTATAATTTCCCTGTTATATTCTTCTATTTCACACAGCTTTATTCTATTCTCCTTTGACACAAACATCAGCGAGCTTATAAGGGTAGGCGTGTACGTGCATCTATAGCCATTCGCATCTCCCACATTAATGCATTAATGTTCGGACTCGGGTAAATGCTGGGGCTGCGTTATAAAAGTCAATTGCCAGATAAAAATGAAAGCACTTTCCGCGGCACTTAATCTTGATGAACAAGACTAACATTATCAAAGTGCCTATAGCGTACCCACTGACTCGGAATACGAGGGTATAATCGGTCGATAAGCTTATAAATAATGAGATTAATCGCCTACTACATTCCAGCAATTGAGTTTTGTAGCTACATTGTGAGGAGGCTGGAGCAAGAGAGCAAGATCAAAATAGCTAATTGCGATAAATGCTCGAAATATGTACTGTGCTCATTTTAATAGTAAGATTGATTTTTTTTTTTTTTTTTTTTTTTTTTTTTTTTTTTTTTTTTTTTTTATATATATTTGTATTATCGGCAATACACCGCTTACGTATAATATTATTTTGTTGTTTATTTATATACATTGAATATTGGTAGACTATCAGTTCAGTTGAGAGCTTGGAAGTGAAAATGAATTTCAGGAAGAAGTAATTTTCAGGCTCAACGGTAATGTACATTTACATTTACACTATACGCAACATGTAAATAATTTATAACCCATCATTGAGAAAATGTTAATATATCCTCGAACGCCAAGGATAAAAAAAAAGAACAAAATTATCATTTTTGCAATAGAGATACTCGCGAATCAGCTCGATATATGTTTTAACAATGCAAATAAAGAAATGCCTTAAAGTTGATAATGAGCTCTCAGGAGCCTAAAAATTAAAAACAATTTCATGCGTAAGACTCGGGCAAACAAAGATTTTATATCTTCCTCGATACTTTGCATGCATTTGAAGCAGTAATTAATCTTCCAGTAATGAATTTGCAGAGAAATACCGATAAAGTGCATTAGCTCAATTGTGAGGACGGCGACGAAAGTATCTCCCCCTCACGCCCCCCACCCCATCATGGGCTTAAAAGGAAAAACCAATGACAAATAACATGGCATTGAATGCTTGTAGGAGCGAGTGTACGAAGACAACGGACAAACATCGAGTCCTGAGGTCGTGTCCTTGATACCCCCCTCGGCGACGCCCAGCAGCAGCCGCGCGGCCTCCGTCACCCCCATGGAGTCCTCGCCTCCTGCAGTGACGCGCGTCACCGTTCAGCGCCTGGAGCCGTCGATCGTTAAGGGTTCGAAGCTCCGGCCGATCGTCTGAGACGAAGCGACTGTTCGGCCAATCAGTCTACACATGTAAATGGCGACCTTGTGCTTCTCAAGTTCCGAGTCGGACGATCTCGCCGCCTCCTATTAATACCGAAGATACTGCCAGCCGGTTACAAAGTAAATAAGGGGAAGTATCGCTCGCCTTTCCAGGCTTATTTATTCCCTGTTCCATTGGTCGTAGGAAGGGCCCGTCGTACTACAGTTGCGACGAATTGCACTTTTTAAACGTCGACGTTTTACTTTACTACGCCCAATCACACAATCGTCTTTTAATTTCGTATATTTGCTATTCTTCGTTAATTAATCGATGCTGTTATATGGATTGTTATTGTCGTCGATGCCACTAGAATTTCAATCGGTAGTAAATTTAATGAACATTGGTTTTAATGACGACGGCAATGAGATTTTGAAAATGTGAAATATACGACAACGTCATATTGAGTTTCGCAAACTTTTGAATTTTATTCGAACCTATTCGAACCCGTTCGATATAATTCGATATAATAATAATAATATATTCGATATAATGACGAGTGTTATTTATTGAGAAATAATAAGTAATTTTTAAGTTGACGGTTACTTGAAAAATTATTAAACAACTGTAACGACAATTATCTCATTATATAATTAACTTGTATATATCTGGAACACGTCCAATACCGTTGAAGGTAAATATTAAAATAATGATAATAGTTATAAGAGTAGCCAAATATTTATTTACATATCTGCATTGTTTTTTCATCAGATGTGTGAAATTATATTGTACATTATAAAAAATGTTATTCTAAATAGTAAATTCATCAGAATTTATGAAAGCTATACTTTTCAGTATATAAAACTTATACTTTTTAATAGAAATTTGTAATTAATTTTATCTTAAATTCGGGAAAATCATAGTCGCTCTAAAATATATTTTAATACATATATGTTTAATATATGTATAAATAAAATGCTTACGTTAAATAGAAACATATTTTTAAATTAATACTATAATTATAAATAATTATTAGCGTTATTAATATCAAAATTTTAGTCATAATTTATTGATTTAAAAAGCTCTTCGAATAAATTGATTTCTACCTTATCATCTATTAAGAGATTAATCTATCAGATTTGCTTTATAATTAAATCTTAGGCGGCATCATAATTAATTACGGTATTCCATAATATGATATTTTTTAACTAACTTAGGCAATTTTCATTATAAATAATCATTCGTAAGAAGACCTTCTTCGATCAGGATAATTTATTGTGAACATTTGTTCTTTAAAAAGAATAAAAATTAGCTAATTATAAATTTTATAATCATTATTACTTTGTTAAATAGTCACTTTTATTGGTCACTCGCAAAAAATTTTTTCAGTATTAATTAGCATTATATTTTGATTCTGATAAATGATAGATATTGTATTTAAGGAACAACAACAGCAATGTTACGTCAAAAAAAGACAGATACAATTATACGTGATATAAAAAATATACATTATACATCGTAATATCAATTATCTCTAATATATATATATATATATATATATATATATAATGTATAATATGTGATATATTCTTCAATTTTATTGTTTGATTTTAAGGGATTCGATAGATTATTTTAGGAAATTTTAGGACATTTTAGGAAACAGAGAGATACTTCATATGCTTTACGTCTCTTTACATATGAAATAATAAAAAGCGTATTATTATTTATATTGAATTTTAATTATATGTAAATGTCCAAATGTATATTAAAGATAAATTTAATGCACGCCTATTAATATAGTGTGCGTGCGTGAGTGTACGTGCGTGCGTGTGCGTGTGCGTGCAAGATGTGCTACAATTATGCTTTTGTAATGATTACGTACAGCAAGAATAGTTTCGTCAAAAGCAATTTACCTGTGAGAAATAATTATTAATAATTACATTTCTTTAATGTTTGTTACATTGAAATATGTAGAATGAAATTTCATTTGAAAAGGAATTTCCTAAACAATTTAGTAAGTGATTTATAACATAATCCATTATCATTGCGTATTATACGCAAGATATCGTTTATAAAAAGTAAATATTTTCATTCGTATTTAAATATAAATTTCTACATCACATCGATGCAATTCAACAGTCCCAGCTGGCCTAGGACAATATTATAGACGTAAGAGAAATCGGCACGTTACGCACGTCGAAATAAATATAATAACCGAATTTGATTAAAATGAATTTACAAATTACAAATACACCATTACGAAACTATTTATACAATTTTTAATTCCATTGTAATAAAAATTTTTCATTTTTATTATTTTTTTTCATTTATAATTCTGATTTTCTTATGCGTAAAATGAAAATTGATATTGACTCACTGATACGTGAATTAATAAACGAATGTTATATTTTCACGTTATTGACTAATACTTTTTTTCTCTCACAATTGTGCTAAATAGGCAAATAACAAATTGAAGACATTTCAAACATTCCAAAAAGGATGAAAATAGTTAATGTCAGTCGTTTGAGAATTATTAAAATAATAGGTAGTAGAAGAGTAATTTTTTACATGGTACTACATTTTATTTTTTTATCCGAATTAATTAGATTTTGAGGAAGAATATTTTTTACGTCTTTGACAGAAGCATAGTTGCGAAAATACTAATAAATATATAAACAAAAGTACCATATACGATAAAAACTTAGAAAGAAAATACAATAAAATAAATTATGAATGAATAACCATATAATATATGTTTGTCTTTCGTTTTATAAAAAAAAGAAAAATGAAAAAATGAATTTAATTGTTGAATAAAGTTCATAAAGTTCAATGCATATACGTAAATACATATATGTTCAATGTTAATTTATCAGAAAATGTTCTGATTGTAATGATAATATACTCATTTATTTTTAAAAAATACACTTGTCACTACATCTTGGTACATATGTCGATATAAAATAATATTATATTATGCAAAAAACTTATATTAGTACGTGTGTCAATAAACATGTATTAGAATATAACTTTTTCAATTAGTTGTAGTTTATGAATTTTTTTTGTTTTTTTTTTATTTTTGTAGTGTATGTATGTTTCAAAATTATACCAAACATTTGTCAGAAACAAAAGAAATTGTAAAAATCATAAGAAATATCCCAAAAGAAGAAAAAATAATACTTAAAATTTTTAACGCGTGTTTATTAATTACAAAAATTTAAGTAATAAATATGTAAATTATTAAGCATTTCACAATAATTCTAAGCAGCAAAAATAATTATTATCAAAGTATAACTTAAAATATGCCAAAAACGTTAAATGTCTTAATATATTAAAATTACAGAAATAACCACAACGTCAATAGTAATTAATACTAAATAATATTAATTACATTACAATTATGTCAACTATTTATTTCAATTGTCCGCTCATATTATTTACAACGAATTACAATAGTATCGATACAGTTCGATAAAATCAGTATTCATAATATCAATAGCTAAATTACGAAAATGAATTGACTCCGTAATACATGAAAAGATTTAAAAAATACTTCGAAACTACTCGGTTTAAATAAAATACATACAAAATAATTTAAATAAATTAATCATTTATTGCAAACGATATTGATATCGTTTATATTAAAAATACAAAATTAATTTTTTTTTCATTTCGTAACTACGAATCGTGTTAATTGATTTAATACTTTCACGTTACGATAATGGACAAAAAATAAATCATACTTAACCCATCATAAATTTAAACATAAATTTCTTCAAAATACAAAGATACATACATATACAATGGTTTTTAGATTTTTCTTATTAATACTTTGTCGAATTATTTCATCTGTATATTAATAGATTATATTTGTATAATGACAGTGATTGGTCTTTTTCATTTTCCTTCATCATTAAAATTTAAATGTTCGAATTCATTTATATGGATATTTATTATTTTATTTTTAGTTAAAACCATACTTTCAAAACTTCTACATAAATTTTAGTAATTTATCTATCTATTTAATTTATTTCATATAATATTTATATAACTTAATTGCTCAAATAGATTTAAAATAATTCAATAATTATATTTAGAACTCTTCTTTGTTTTATAGAAAAAATCATTCTTTATTCGTTTAAATTGATATCAATATTTATTTATCCTATGATAAAAATTAATGATGCAGTGGGGCAAGTGATGAAATATTCTTTTCTTCAACATCGTTCAACAGAAATTTCACTACTACCGATCGATGAATCATCAATTTATAGAAATAGACTAAGAAAACAAATTTTTTGCGCCAAAAATTTCCATAGGAAGTTTTTATATGTAATTAATTCGAGCAGAATGATGCATTAATATGAGTTACTTATCATTTATACAAAATTGAACATATATTATCATAATCAACAATTAATACATTATTAAAGTAATATTTTATTTTACATAAAGATTCCATAAGAATTCTTGCATAATATATATATATATACAAATATAAACAAATAAATTATTTTAGGTATTGAAGTCGTATTTTTGAGTAGATTTTAAAATGTAAGAATTATTGACAACTAGTCTTGCTATAATTGAAACTTTTGCGCCATCTTTAAATTTGACTACTTTATAAATGATTTTGCACTGTACTGTTTTCAATGCTAAAACTATGAACGCCAACGTCTGCATTATCAATGTATAAATAAAAGCAAATACATCGTGATAATGCGCAATATATATGTACAGAATATCAGTATGGAATGATAATAAACTGATTATTTTAAGAACAATAGAATAAAAAAAAAATAAACTACAATGTCTAATAAACCATAAAGATAAAGAATAATTATTGTAATATTTGTATAGGAACTGCGATTACGTAATTTTAAAAATAATTGAATTGTATTTATAAAGCGTAATTAGATAATATATTTGTGCATCTCGTGCAATTTGAAAAATGTTACAATAAAACAATCCACATCATTATGCAAAATAATTTACAATAATTTTTTGATGCATTTCTTTCATTCCTACTTCCTAATTAATTTTAGATTTATATTCACCTGCTAACAATTCAGACATAAATCGTTAACAATACAAAACTTTCAGTTCCATCGTAGTTGTTGTATTTTACTCCATACACTC